ACACAAATTATAACCATGAAGCACAAACCCCAACCATAACTCAAAACCTAACCCTAACCCTAACCCTAACCCTCATACCAGATACTGACTGGTTTTCGGACCCCCCCAGACCCCCCCAATAAAGCAAAAATGCACGTTTCAGAGTGGCCTTTTATTGTGGCCAGCCTAAGGCACACCTGTGCAATAATCATGCTGTCTAATCAGCATCTTGATATGCCACACCTGTGAGGTGGGATGGATTATCTCGGCAAAGGAGAAGTGCTCACTATCACAGATTTTTTCAGATTTGTGAACAATATTTGAGAGAAATGGTTATTCTGTGGATATAGAAAATGTTTTAGATCTTTGAGTTCATCTCATGAAAAATGGGAGCAAAAACAAAAGTGTTGCGTTTATATTTTTGTTCAGTGTATGTCCAACAAATAGTACAAAACCCAAAGATGTTTTAGTGATTATTGCAGGATCACATCCTTGCATATGAGAAGTTGGAGTCAGAAAGTACCATTTCACTTTTAAAAGAAATATATTATGGAACCAACACAAGAGTTCTTTTAACAATAATCTTGGTTGCTCAAGATGACAAGAAAAAATGATTTGCATTCTCCATAACACATGGCCCAGGAATTTCCTCACATATGGCAATTCATTTTGTTGTGTTGGTCTTGTATGTATTGATCTTGGTTTGCCAATGATCTCCCCCGCAATATCATGAACGAATGAGAGAGAAAAGGCGCTCTGACTCAAATCACTGTGGTTCTTTGACTCCGCCAATTTAGGCTTAACTTGAAAACCGAGCTTGCTTTAGCCTCCGCAGCGGCTCTGAATGACTAAACCTCCCATCTGTGCAATGTGTCTGGGTTGTAGATGTTGACCTTGAAGCCACAACTTTGCTGTAACAGAGAGGAGAGCAAAGCGCCAGTAAAAACAGAGCGAGCAGATCATGAGTCAGCTTTCTAATTTGATACGAGCCACGGCGGCCAGCTAAAGCATTACAAAAAAAAAAAAAAAAAGCTTCCAAAGTCTTTTTCAAAACAAAGGAAATGTCTCTAGTAGTAATAGTAGAAGTAGTTGAACAGTATTATACATTATTGTAAATGTGTATAAACTCCAGTGGTACGCAGGTGGGGGGGTTCATGGCTGCCGTAGGACAATAAAACGGACAAGACAATTGTATTACAAACAGCCTGTTTAAAAAAAAAAAAGGATTAAACAGTGTTCCTTGTCAATTTGATTTATTTTATAGACAAAACCGAATGTTCCTTTTGGAGAAAAACAATTTGCTGAGGCCTCAAATTACATTTATTACCACTAAAGAGTCCATTCCTGATTTTACTGACCTACAGACTGCCTCAAACCACTTTCTTTTTGGAAGAAGGAGCAACCACAGAGGACAAGAGTCTTCCTCACGACAGCATCATGGTACTCTTCTGGCTCCTCAAAACCACCTCAGAGCAACCATCACATTTGGTCTTTAAAAGATGCTTCCACTGAGAAGATGCAACATTCTCAGGTTTTCTCCTTTTCTCCGTCTTCAAATCAAACAGATGGTGTTGTTGCATACATTGGTTGGTACTAATGCTACCACTGTTTTGTTGCTGGATAGTCCTAGCTTGCCCTACTTATAAATAAGCTTTAAACATGACCTTTGCTCTGCTGAGGAAGTTCTGAGGAGCCCGGCCCTGTTGGTGCAGTGATTTCTTTCTCAGAAGTTTAACAACAGTGTCGGTACAGAAGACAGCAGCTCTTTCAATTATATGCGAGCTTCCAATCGCCTTCAGCACTCAGCTGGCCTTTAAGCAGGTTTTCAGTAGAAGGCTAGATGGAGTTCATCACTGTGTGTAGGTGTGTTTTAGACCTGCCATTTCATGAACGATGCCCACAGGCTTATTTCTCAAGTGTAACGTTCATGCCAACTCCAGCAGGGATAAGGTTCTGCCTTCACACTTGCAGCAGCTTACCATTTAGAAAACTGTATAGTTGTATATGTATTCATTATGCATAATGTCTTTACCATGCACTCTAAATGGTCAGCTTTCACAGAGGAACACAACCATCATTATTCCTGCAGTGCAGATCTCCCGCTGATACTGACACTGATGCTTCACTCTGAACATTTCAACAGCATGTATATATTACAGATTAAACCCAGGAAGGAAAGACAAATAAAATCTGGATATCCGACCTGACAAGAGTTGCAAAATTCAAAGATCATCAGAGCACTTTTCGGGCTGCAAGCCAACACCCACACCAGCGTACCACACAGAGGACAGTGATGGTTTGAAGTTGTATTCTAAGATGATATTGATAAAAAATAAAAACCTGCAAAAAGCTCCAGTCTACAGTATCTATGCAGCGGAAGGAGATGGCATTGAAGCCACACTGTAAATACAGAATAATAACCAGTTTGTTTGCCAAGGCTGCTCAGTATCCAGGAATAAAAACTAAACTAAACTGCAATTTGCCAAACAAGGTACTTTGGTGTCATTCTGAGGTTCAAATCTGATTTTCAAACAGGAGATCATCTTTAGAAGCAGCACATTTTACTCACCTCCACATGTTCTGTAGAGGACATTCAGCCAAAATGTTTAGAATTTTTATTCCTGCGAACACTATGCAGCCTTAGCATTTGCTACTACATGTTAAGGCCATATGTGAGGCCTTGTCTAATACCACTGTCTACAAAGTCAGGCTACTCTGAACACTGAATATTGAAACCAAGATTACATGTTTCTGTTTTAGCAACCGACGGATGGTTGCAACCACCCGGTGGAGGATTCTGCGGGTCGTAATGACAATACGCCACCACATCCTTGCTTCAAAACACAAACTTTTTTCGCGGTTATTGTTGTTGTATGTGTTGTTGCAGTCCGTTATCATGGGGATTGTAATAACAGTAGCCAGAGTAGAAGTTTAAAATCCTCCAACAAACGCTTCCAAAAGTTTTTTTTCCCCACTTTTCTTTGTTGAAAAACAGCCGAGTGGAGGATTAACAACATGAATCTTCTACGATGGCTACATCTGAAGGAGACACCAGTACTAATATTCTCCTGCTGATAGGGGGCATTTCTCTCTGAGTAAGCTCATACTTCCTGATGCAGACAGGATCACATATACATACAAAACTAGTCATCTTGTATATTTTAACCCTGTTATACCAGCTCTGGTATGTATTATATGTGTGTGTCTGTATATGTGAGCTGTTTGTTGAGAATTCAGGTCAGCAGCATTGGGCTTTTTCTGAATAGGGTTTATGTGTGAGTCTGCATTTAACAACCATCGCCAAGCTTTTCCTAAGGGAACTCCTGTAAATGCAGATGTGGAGGAATCCCGGTTGGGTTTGTTGGTATTGTGAATATAGCTGCGCCCGTCTGGAGCTTGCAGCATTTTCTAACTGATCGAGCTGGGTTGAGATTTTACTTAGCTGCAGCCAGAATTATTTGACATCCTTATCCAAAATTGTTCATCTTGAAAACCAGAGACATGTATGTGTGTTTGTGTAGATAAAATATGTAAATATGCGGCCTTGATACACAGATCTGTTATTTGGCGTGGTCACTTCCGAAGACAGGCTAGAAGCTGTTCCATACAGCGAAAAAAACCCAGAGGAAGTAGATTGGACTTGCACCTCCATTTAAGTATCTGTTCATCAGACCTGGGTTAAGCAGCCCTTAAAAATCACTTGATAGGTACTAACTACTTAATAAATGAAAATAAAATCCCTTTTTGTTGTTGACCACAGAGCTATTATAGTTCGCTATTATCTGACCTGCCCCCTCGCCTGTTATTCAAAGAAATACTATTTAGTTATTGGTTGAACCCAGGGCTGATGGCCGTACTGAGAAAAGGAACATGCTCAGTAGTATTCGTGTAGGAGTTCAAACAGTGAAGCTTGCCAAATAAGGACATTTCTAGACATACACACATTACTTTATATATATGTATATACTGTATACGATATAAATATGTATATGTATATATATATGTACCGGTATGTATATATATCTGTCTTACGCTTCTTTTCGATACATTTTTAAACCTTTTATTCTTTTTTTAAACGTTTTTCTTAACCCCTGAGAATACCATGGACTGCTTTAAGTACAAAATACAACTCTCTGCGATAACAACAAAAGTTTTTTTTTTTTTTTAAAGTAATACAAACAACTCAAATTAAGAACGTAAGAGCGCAGGCCTCTGAAGCTGGTTTTTACATTGTCATCATTCATCTAAAAGGAGAACGTGTGCAGCAGAGCCATCAGAGACTAGAGCTTGGCCACATTAAACAATTACTTTTCATTCACTACATTGATAAATAAAACTCATAAACTGCATAGTTACACATGGATGTGGTATTAAATTGGTAATATGCTTTGTTTTTAAGTCCAAAAAAACTAATATTTAGTTAGATATATACTAAGAAAATCTTCATATTTGAAGGGCTGAAACAGTATTTTTGCATAGAAAAAAAACTTGATTGATTATCAAAACAGTTGGCGGTACATCTTCTTTTGTATTGATTGGAGCAGGCTACAAAAAATACCAAAATGTCCAATCCGTGTTTGTTGCCACTAATCTAAATGACTAATATTCAACGGGACTTGCCGACAGGTTAAAGTTTTATTTAATATGTTTTCCCATTTTCCATGTGTATCTATAGTTTTACTCAGCTCTCTGGTGCTCACAGTGTAACCTGGCCAAACTGTGTATCGATGGCTCTGGGCTGCAGTGATCTAGCTGTGGGGGGGGGGCACAGAACAGTAGGCAGCTCTCTGCACTGATAGTACGCTGTGGCTCTGCTTTGCTAACTGTTGCAGATACTTTGCTGATTAATGGTGAATGCTGCATTTACATCCTTGTTTCAGGCACTAGACAATTAAGGAGACAAGGAGCCCAGCACTGGCTACACTCGGTAACCAATCCAACGGGATTTCCTTTTGGTTTGATTGTTACAAATCCGATTGATGAACGACTGATTGATCGACTTACTGATTGTTTTGTTTTTTGATACGTTTTTTGGGTCGAGGTGAGGGGGCACAGGGCAAGCGACAGAAGGCACAGAGTTTCTACGATGATTTCTCTCCAAGGATTCCGGCTTGATAAAAAAATTAACTCAGAACTAGGAAGAATTTGAAAGCAGCTGACAAAAGTCAGATCAAATATATTTCCATTTCGGCTGTGATGTGAGCAAAGGGATTTGCTTATTATGTGTGTCAGTATGTTTGTGTGTTTGTGTCTCTGTGTGACAATCTGAATGAGCTCCAGGGTTGGGGTCAATCTTTTTGCTATCTAAAAATTTGAAAAGCTGGAAATCTGAGAAGATAAATTGAAGAATGTAGGCTTTAGTGTACATTTTGCAAACCGGGTAAACATTATGAGAATTGAACCCAACCCTGACTGAGCATCTATTATACACACGAGTGCTTACATTCCAGCTCTTATGACTAGCTAGTTGTGCTTTTCAAGGCTGAATACATGTTATCCCATGTCACCACCTGTACATATTCAGATTAGCTCTGGAGTGAAATTGTCTTTCCACTGAACAGATTCAAGAAAACAAGGACTCATTGGATTCATCTCAGGCCATAAAAGACCAAGAGCGGAGCAGACCCTGAAACCAGCTTGAATAATATTTAAAAAAAAAAAAAATAATAATAATGCCCCAAAGTGTTTGTTCCCAAGTCTGGCAGATACCACAGACATGAGGCCAAAAAAGGGTACTTCAACGCCCAGGATCAAAATGAATCGGAAATTTAAACAAAGTCTAAATGAAATGTTTGTTTCCTATTCGTTAAATGTATCACATCTTCTAATAGGCTGACGACAAACTACAGTCCGGTGGAGTTGCTTAACTGTACGATAGGCAAACAGCTACATTCAAATTCCCCCCCCGAAAACAAAGCAGTCGAGAGCTGAAGAGATTTTCCACTAGTAGACGTGACAGGATTTGGTTGAACAAAGCCATCCAGCCATGTTTTGTGGACTGTATATTGGGCACAGATGGAGATACAATTCGCTAGCTCAGTTCTTTAGGAGGCCAGCACGCTCCTTCTCAGCAGGTCCTCTTTCCCAGAATGCAACTGCGGCAAGCGGAGTTTGCGTCCGCCCGAGCGCGTGTCAGAATCGCTCTGCTCGCCGTCAGAGAAGTAGCCGTCGGTCTCCACAGCGTCCAGCATCGAAGCGTCCTTTCCTGTGAGCGGCATCCCAACACACTCCAGACCTGCTATACCTCCAGTGAAGCCCCTCCCTCTGGATTTCACCTGGCGGGAGAGGCGGAGCCGTGGACCCCTGCCACGAATGATCGCCCCTGTGTCGGGCAACGTGGCCCCGGGGCTGGAGCCTGGGCGTGGGGACGAGGATGCAACGCCATTCCCAGTGTAGACGCTGTTCCACGGGCTGCGCTCCTCCGAGATGTGACAGGAATCCATCTTGGAGACGGGGGGCTGCGGCGGCGGGTCGGAGCTCCTTGTCTGGTGGGGGTGAACGTAGAGATGGTGCCGCGAGGAGCCCCCGGACCTCTCCCCTTTGCGGCCCACATGGATGGGCTTCTCCTCTGCCATGCTTGCCCAGAGACTCTTTGCTGTGGAGGGGCTGCTGGCGGAGGAGGGGGCCGCTGCAAAGGAGGGGGCTGCTGCAGAGGAGGGGGCTGCTGCAGAGGAGGGGGCCGTTGCAGATAGGGGCGTCTGGGGAAGGGTGGGGCTGGGCGATTGCGGAGGGGCACCGCGAGTACGGGGCTTGTTGCTCCCTCGTGGTTTTCGGCCCAGCTGAGGTGTTTTCCAGGTGGACTGCATGGAGTTCTCCATCATGAGATTGAGCAGGCTCTCCTCACCCTGCAGGAGCTGCAAGACAGGGGAAGAAGAAGAAGAGAGGAAGTGAGAAAAAACAGGGGATTGGAAATAAATAGGAGATGGGGGATGAGAGGATATGAATCAAAAGGAGATCCAGGGAATGTTGATTAGAAAAGAAGGGATGAAAAAGGCTGAATCAGTTCATGTTTAGAGGTGCCATACATACACGTTGGACACAATGTTTATGACATATCTGGATTATGCGCTTTGATCAATAGTAGGGCTGCACAATGTATCACTTTTTATTGTCATCACGCAAGACTGCAAAAACTAAAATAGTATCAATAGAAATGTGCATTTTATAAGGTGACTACTGTATCTACTGTATGTGTTCATTTTCTAGTTAATGTCAATTCATGTATTTTATTTAACAAGCTACTTGTTGCAGTATACCGACAACAGCAGAAAGACAGAACTGACTACATATTATAGAAATATGTATTTATCGCATTTGCTATATTCAAAAACGTTATCACCTGTAACATATTTCTCTCATATTGTACAGCTCTAAATAATACAAAAACGAATTTGCCGGTCTAATTTAATCATGCTCCTTCTTCCACTAGTGTGATCTGTGAAGTGGTGCTGAAATTATGTTTAGCTTGCAGATCACTTTTGGTTGTATCAAATCAATTCAAAACTTAAATTGCTGCATTATTACAGTAGCATCTGATGTATGTATCAGAAATCATAAAATGAAAGTCAACTCAAGAAACAGCCGAGACGTCACTCCTGCTGTTGAGGGTCTACCTGGTCGGAGAGCAGGCTGCCACTCTTGTCCCGGTGCTGGGAGCCCAGAGCCCACTGACTCAGCATGTCGTCAGCCGTGATCTGAACCGACTGGGCGAGCCAGCTGTCAAACAAAGAGTTGTCCAACGGGAAGGACTTCGACAAACCTGAGGGGTTGGACATGAGCAGGGAGAGAGGAGGAAGCGAGGGATGATAGCAAGACAGAGGCATGAGAGAATTGGTATGGATGAAGGGGAGAGAAGGTGGAGAAAGACAAAGTAGACAGGTGAGGGGAATTGAACATTTCTCATCAAAAAACACAACAAAAGACATCTGAGTGGAAAGGAATTGGCTCTCAAATGACGTCAAGAAGTAAAAAGCATATAACAGCACCTGCAAAGCAAAGCCCTAAATCCCACCACTCAGCGTGTGTACAGCATTAGCTTGACTATTAATTGTAACACATTGACCCATTTTAAATGATAAAGACTCAATTTGGATGATTTTACGAAAACATTTAACATTCAAAGCATGAATCTGAATTATGCAGTTGGTAGGCGTACACAACCTTGTGGGTCTCCTTGCCAAAAAAGATGATGACATATTTAAATGCGGATTAAGTCAATATAGCTACAAACATGCAAACAGCTGATGTTAGCACAGAGATAAAACGAAAATGACCTGTTCCTCAATCTTGATTAGGTTAATCACACAATAAGTAAACGGTTTGTTTATGGTAACTATAACAACACCTCAAAATGAATATAATTGAAAATGTTATGCAACATCTCTTAATTGATGTTAATCTCTTACATAGCAACTCTAGATCTTATTTGGCCTCATTTAATTTATAAGTAGAAACACAGAAACTACTCTAAGTCTGACAGAAAGAGAAAGGACAAAGCTCAAAATCCAAACAAGCTCTTTCTGTTGCTTCCTCAATAATGAAGATATGAACCATAAACACATTTACAACCAAAATCCCGTTTCCTTCCCACGACTGTGTGTGTGTGTGTGTGTGTGTGTGTGTGTGCGTGCGTGTGTGTGTGTGTGTGTGTGTGTGTGTGTGTGTGTGTATGCATAATTAGGAGATTTTTAAGGCTCCTATCTATCAATGTGGGCTGCAAAAGCCAAAGCATGTCTTTCTGTGGCAATTTCTCATATACAATTCAGTGAAGACTCTTAGGCTTAGGGAGAACAGAGAATGGGGGGGGAGGGCTTTCACTCCTCTATCTTCTGGTTGCATCTAATTGAATCCAAATTCAGTATGGATCACAACAAGTTTTTTCTGAAACCCTGCCAAATATATTTATGCTTAGCTTTTGACAATTTTTGACATTTTTGTATAGAATAACATTTTTGCATATTGATTACGTGTTTGGTATGTAGCCAATAAAACCTAAATGTTTTAATCATTGCTGAAAAGAATAGAAAATCAATATTTAATGTTAGCTAGCTAGCAACAAACACACTGAGTTGGTAGTGTCCCATGTTTTGTTCCTTTATAGATAACTGTGAAAAAATGTTAGCGCTGGAACCCCAGATAGATACAGATTAGACATGAACGCTGATTTGATGAGAATTTGTGTTTGTAGCTTCTTAGAAAGAGGATTTTTACAGAAAATGGGATGATAACAGCGAGACTTCCACTTATTATAGCAATTTTGGAATTCTACAACAAAAGAACCCTGCAGAAACTCACAACAACAACCATTTAGAAAAAGAACAATCACATGTTTATTTCCTCTGCTGATAAATCTGTCTTTGTGATGAAGGATAACAACTTTCAACAATTTCAGACCTATCAGAAACAGAACTGCGTGCAAAGTAAAACGCTCCTTGTTGTATTTGCAGCTAAATCAAAAATGATCTTAGGCTGCAGAGGAGGTATTATCTATAGTGAATGTATGCAATTTAGTTTTCATACTTAGCAAGGAACAACCATTAACCTCTGCAACCAGAACCTTGTCATGTTCACTTTGGGGAACAACCCATAATATGATATAAGCAGAGATGCCGATTATGTTACAAATAACTTGCACACAAGCACATTAGGAGAAATACTGACAAGAGCTTGCATATTTGTCAGGATTGAGTCTATTCATTCCTTATTTCTCTACCATCTTTCCAGCCTCTCTGTAAATCTTCAGTGCTTTTAATGATCTGCCAAGCTGGTCGGCAGGAGGTGCTGTTAGGGTGGCTTTCACAGCAACTACTTCACACACACACAGAGATACACAGACACAAGCACACACACCGAGCCGGTCGTTTCCATGACGCAGCATGTCTCTGCAGGAGTCGGTAGATCTCAGAGGGAGGGAATAGGTGACGGAGGGAAAATAAAGAGCCAGGAGAGAAGTGTGAGGAGAGGGGATGATGGAGGACAGTAATGGAGTTCAGAGAGAGGAAGGTGGGAGGGAAACATGCCACACTGTGGTCTTTAGATATGTTTAAATTCTCACATACTCTACATCCTGATATTTATTTCACTATGGGAAAATATGTACACAAGCAGCTCTGTGAGGCTGTGCTGAGACACAGCAGTGCTAAGAGTCACATGCTAACATTCTCACAATGATCATTTTAACATTTACCATGTTTACCAAAATGTGTGTTAGCATGCTAACATTAGCTAATTAGCACTACTGCTGAGGCTAAAGGGCCTGTTGTCAGTTTTTAGTCATAAACATAAAAGGACAAAAGGACAAATAAAGATACTACCTGATGATGTTTATCAATGAAAAGTCACAGAATCTCTAAAGTAACTTTATTAATGAATGAGGGAGACATGAGTGACTGTACCAAATTGAACACGTTGTTGCTGCTGTTTCCCCAATACACAGTCAAGGATCAGATTACAGTCATTTCAGCATAATGGGGAGGCTTCTTAGTTATTCATTCAACTATTGCCAAAAATAAACACTTGCATTACATTCTCGCTTTCCCACAAATTCAATTTACTTACGGAAATAAAGAGAGTTGATAGGCTAAGCTGATTAACAGGATAGCACATGATACATCTACAAATGTATTTTTTTCTCAAATCTCAGTGTCATAAAGAGTTTTTTTAAAATTGATTTCTATCTGTATTTCCCTTATTGGCAACACAGTAGTACAACATTTTTATGAATGTTATTTTAAATCAGTTTGAAAATAAAATCTGTATTCTCTCTGTGGATTTTCTCTTTTAAACAGTTATGGGAGATTATGAGATGTTGTTGATGTTACTCATCTCTGCTTTGTTTTCAAACAAATTGTACAACATGCCCAAATAAATAAATGTCCAGAGGAAGCCTAATAATAGTGGAGCTGTATCTTTTAACCGAATGACGACACTGACTCCTCCTCCTTCGTCAGCTACAGCTAACATGTTGAACTAATGGGCTACTGTAGGCTAATGCTATGCATCGAAAGGTGCTGTTACAGCCATCCGAATCCCTTGTTTAAGGCTTTGTTGCACGACAGCAACAGTTTTTGTTCCTCGTTGCGATTGCACACTACAGCTACAAAAAGCCCCAGGATGTCTTTAGAGAACAGCTGATGTAGCAGTGAGCAATGATTCACTAGCCAGCAATACTAAGGCAGTGCAGGGTAAGGAATGTGCTAGCAGCAGGACAGGGCCAAGACCAGGCCTGTGCATGAGAGAGTGTGTGGTGTGTATGTGTATGTGTGTGTGTGTGTGTGTGTGTGTGTGTGTGTGTGTGTGTGTGTGTGTGTGTGTGTGTGTGTGTTTGTGTGTGTGTGTTGCTCAGTCTAAAGCCCTCATTACAGTCTGAGGATTGTTCTCGGGTGCCAACGTCTGCCTGGAAACTCAAGCAGAAAGACAGAGATAGAAAAAGAGAAAGTGAAACAGAGTGTGCAGGAGGAGTAACAGCTTGATCTAAACACCCATCAGAGCGATGAAGGGGAGACAAGAGGTGCATCAGGCAGAAAAACAGTGAATTAAATAGGCTTAATACCTGATTAAAGAGGTGAAAGACAGTCTAACACAATAATGGGAAGCAGAAAAAAAAGCTCAGCATGAATCAACAGAAATAAACCTGTCTGGGTTCTTCTCTTTAACAAAAGGGGTGTTTTATTTTCTCTTAGCCCATTATGTCAGATTGATCACACACTATTCTAATCTGTAATTTGGCCTCATTATCGTTTTGGCCGCCTGAATGAAATGTAACATTTTCAGTTCTTCTTTGCCCTTCAAGTGAATGCTAAAGAACATATCCATTCTGATCCAATTTAAAATATATTAGAGTGGAACCTTGAATGTTAGAGTTTGTTGGGTCTTCCAGAGATCTTATTTGATAAACAACAATAATACATAGACAAGTGTATCACGGAGGATTCCTATTTCACTGACTAACAACAGCCTGAATGATCTGGAGACAAGACCTAGACCTAGTCAAGGCTGTTTACTTTCACCATCAGGCACAACATTTGAAGAAAGGTGGACAGCTTATTACCGTTGATACAAAATATCTCTAAAAATTCACTTTTTTTCCTATATTTGATAATGAACAGTATAAGAGAAAATCATCTAGAGTGTTTACATTTTGCTTTGTCTCAGAAGACGATTCTTAGTCAGGGAAATGCTTATATATAGCATATTCATATCTAGCCCTCGTCTATTCTTAAGTCAAACACATATTCCCATTACTCTGCACATTACTGCTTTTGAACTTGTAGTCAGATGCTAAACTGCATTTGTTGTGCAATGACAAGTTGTAATAAAGCCCCTGCTGGGACATGTGTCTGAGCACCGAGTTCACAATGTTCTACAAGCTTTCTTCGCATTATAAGTAATACATTAATAACTCAGGCAACAATTGCTGAAACAAAAGCAATATAGTACTCATAAGAACTTGGCTTGCTAACAAAAAGGTTGCCAGGTTCAAGTCCGAGTTTGGGCTGGAAGCTGAAGAGGTGCCAGTTTGCCTCATGGCCACTACTGAGGTTCCTTGAGCAAAGCACTAAAGCCCCGAATGAACCAGGGCGCCGAACCATAGCAGCCCATTCGCTGTGACACCTTTAAATCAATGCACGTGTAGAGGTCCTGTTTGTGAATGTGTGCATGTATGTATTTTGGACCTTTGTGTTTAATATAATGTAAATCATATATTTCCCCTCTCGGATTAATAAAATATTTTTTAGTCGTAATCTTATAATTCTATGCAGTGGGTCAGCAGGATTTTGAATTCACTCCCATTTACATTTAAGAGTTGATCAAACATAATTATTCACTACTGAAGAAACATTATCTTAGTTTGGCAATTCAATCTTTAAAAATTATATTTGCAACAC